GAAGGACTGGTAGGGTCTGCTCTACTCCTATTATTGTGAGAAAATTCAACTCCTACTCCTTCACCTTAAAGAAAATAGTGTAAATACATCTGATATAACTAATTTACTGGTAGTTTCGAAACTCTGCAAATCAAAAACGGGAAACAAATGATTGTGATGCTTAGTAGCAAACAATTGGCAAGTGGGGTAGAAGAAAGGGGCCTCAATCTATGTCAGGAGCCCTAAAAACGTTACATGGTACCGGTGTTGGAGATGAATACGCTTTATTAAACCCACTTGTAACGACACACTCTTAGGCAACATTAGAGGAAAGAGGAGCACAAAATTTATTTTAATAGGTAGATGGGCTATATAAAGTGAGGTTGAGAGAGTTTATATGTTTAAAACTCACGAAATTAAATGAAAGGCTTCAAACACGGTGAAACATTCATATGAATTTTCTCAAAAAATAAAAACAGGAAACTTGAAGAAACAGACTTATTGGTAAGTTTCGATGTGGAATCCATGTATACAAATAACTTTGGAGAAAATGCGCTAAAGGCCCTATTGGAAATCTTAGACCGAGAGGATGATATCCTAGAATCACAACGGATAGGTAGGGAGTCTTTAACAAGACTAATCAACTTGACAATAAGGACAATCTATTTTACATTCAACGGGAACATCTATGAACAAATATTTGGACTTCCCATGGGATCGCCGCTCTTACCACTTTTGGCAAACATATACATGAACGAAATAGAAGAGAAATTCAAGGTGGCACCGCTAACACCGGGAGTGCTCATGCGGTACCTGGATGATAACTTCGCACTTTGGGCATTCGGAATATAAAAACCGGAAGAGTTTCTAAAGTTTGTAAATCAGATTTATGAAAAAATTCAATTCACGATGGAAGTAGAGGAAGGTGAGCGGTTACTGTTCCTTGATGTAGAAGTGATTCGCTCTAATGGGACGCTCAAAAACACATTGTTCAATAAGAAGTCTTATGCTAGGAAAATACTCAATTTCCGGTCCCATCACAATTACAGTCTAAAGATAGGAATAATGAGGAGCATGATCATCCGAAGCATACGCTTAACGGATGTAGAATTCTGGGAAGATGAGTTGTACAAATTAACTATGATGTTTCTCGGCAATGGCTACTTTATCGAAGTGTTACAAACAAATATATGGACCGTGAAAAGCCGATGACAGAACGGGGACTATGAAAGAACAGTAAGGACGATGAATGATTAACAAAAGTGGATATGCCTACGTTCCTGCGACATAACTCAAGAACTACGGCCAATATTGAGGAAATGGAATATTCAGGTGATCATGAAAAAGAAATTAACACTTTAAACAAATCTACCGGCGCAACTGCCTACTGATTAAGCAAACTCCGGGAAAACAAGAATTGAGCAAGACCAGTAAAAATGAGACGTCTTGATCAAGGATTTATCGCTACCCGGAGAAAAAGGAATCGCAATGAGGCAAATGGAGGTCGGGGGTTTACGGAAATTAAGCGAAGACGTTGTCAGTGAATGATGTCCGTTTCGAATAAACCAGTACAACTTTGGGGGTCTGCCAATCAGGGAGCTGAGCATACGGATAAGCAAACCGTCACAGGAATTCGGCGTTATGGCCAAACTGCGCTTGAGGTGCCGCATGCGACCAGAGATAGGCGTCCACAGTTTGCTTAGATAACATGGATTTAATGAAGGATACGACCTGCGAAGGGAATGCCTGATATCTGTAAGCATTGGAATCAGAGCCCAGGCGCTCTGCTGAGGCGGCCGTGTACGTGTTTCTATGACCTTGAGAAATAGCGCCTGGAGTGAAATTCACGCTGGGACTAGAAGCGAGTAAAATCGATCAACCAGAAAGATAAGGAGCAGATCTGGGTCCATGATGGGATCCGGATTGTAGGCTTGAGTCGGATTAGCCGATCAAAAGAGAGGGTGGCAGGGTGACAAGCAGGTGTGATGAGGCCACACTAGATTTTCCACAAAAGGGCACTCATTTTGACGAGTGGAATGTAAACAAGTGGAAAGTTGTGACAGGGCGGCAGTGGGAGAAGAGGGTAAAGAGTAGATGGATAGGCCAGGACAGAAAGAGGAGTGCTAGTGTAACCGTTTTTGTAGGAGAGCTTCAAAATGGCACCGCTACAACCGACAGGGCTCATGCGGTACCTGGATGATTACTTCGCACTTTGGTCACATAGAAAAGAAAAAATTGGAAGAGTCTCTGAAGTTTGCAAATCAAATTGATGAAAAATTCAATTCACGATGGAAGTAGAGAAAGATGAGTGGTTACCGTTCCTGGACAATGAAGTGATTCCTTTTAATAGGACGCTCAAAAAAAATTTTCAGAAAGAAGTCTTATGCTGGAATAATACTCAATTTCCGGACTTATCGCAATTATAGGCTAAAGATTTCTATGATGAGGAGCATGATCATTCGAAGCCTACGCTTAACGGATGTAGAATTTTGGGTCGAGGAGCTAAATAAATTGACGGGGATATTCCTCGGCAATGGCTACCCTAGCGAACTAATACAAAGAAACATACGGGCTGTGAAAAGCCAATGGCAGAACGGAGTTTATGAAAGAACAGTAAAGACGATGAAGTACTCACCAAAGTGGATATGTCTACCTTCCTGCGAACTAACTCAGAAACTACGGCCAATATTGAGTAAATGGAATATTCAGGTGGCCATGAAAAAGAATTCAACACTTTTTACAAGTCTACCAACGAAATTTGAAAGGGTAGATAAATTGTATTGTTCAGTATTTTACTGTATATCATGCGGCGCCTGCGGACAGAAATATATTGGCGAAGCAGACAGAAAAATTAGCACAAGAATCAAGGAATATCAGAGGCTCTGCAGGAAAAGGGATACCAAAAGATCAGAACTAGCGGAACACATCGTGCAGGCTGCACACGAGATCAATTGGAAGGCAACAGAAAGAAGAGCTGAATACGGGGACAAAACAAGGAAGCGAAAGATTAGGGAGGCCGTTGACATCCGTGGGGAGAAAAATTTAATGAACATGAGATTGGAGGAAGGTAGAGTTAGCGATAACTTTGCCTACTGCACACTCGAGGAAAACAAGAATGGAGCAAGACGAGCGAAAAGGAGACGCCTGGATCAAGTATCTACCGCTAACAGGAGGAAAAGGGATCGCGTCGGGGAAGGGGATTTCGGCAATAAAGCGAAGGCTTTGCCAGTGTATGATGCACATTTTGAATAAACCACTATAACTTTGGGGGCATGCCAGTCGGGGCGCTGGGCAGACTGATAAGCACATCGTGACGGAAATTCGGCGTTATGCCCAAAATGCAATAGAAATACACTTGAGATGCCGCATGCGACCAGAGATAGGCGTCCACAGTTTGCTCAGATAACATGGGTTTAATCAAGGTAGAGGATTCGTGAAGTGAAGGCCTGATATCTGCAAACATGGCAGTCAGAGCTTAGGCGCTCTGCTCTGTGAAGCGACAATGTAAGTACTTATATG